TGGCTCTCTCTCTCTCTCTCTCCCTCTCGCTCTCTCTCTCTCTCCCTCTCGCTCTCTCTCTCTCTCCCTCTCGCTCTCTCTCTCTCTCTGTGGTACTTCTTTCATTCTTGTTGTTCTCCCAACTTCATTCATTACCTATTGAATACGAGGAGAACTCCTTGTTTCCTCATCAAGCAGGACGAACTTCCATTTCAAATATATATATTTTTCTTTAAGCAACTGTGTTCATATTCTTCAGTGCTAACCTGAACTCTGGTTCTATTTTTGTCGTTCTTGTTTCCTGTCGTCAGCATCCATCTCGCAGTGACTCCTCCCTAGCAGATGGCAGTTCAGAGGGTAGCCTGCACTCCACTCCTGAGGAAGGTCTGGGCTTTAATGTCTCCCAGCCGCGGGACACAGATCTCCCAGTGCCTCTCCTCTGCCCTCTCCCTAGCCAACCACTAAATCCCCAGGAATCTGTATCAGGGGACCAGGACAAAACTTTACTAAAGAGACGAAGCACTACAGTTACCCTAAAGGCCACCAGGGGGCACCAGAGGAGCCAGAGCAGCTGCGGTGGTGGCAGCACTAGCCCTGGCTATCCTCGGCAAGACTCCATGGACCCGTCGGATGAAGACGTGGGTCCACAGTCGGGGTCGGACGGCTGCCGACAGACCTGGAACAGTGAACACTTGTCAGAAACACTCATTAGCCTCTCGCTGACCTCACTGCTCACCCCTGGCTCTCTGGCACAACCACTGGTCAAGAAATGTAATAGCACAGGTTCTTTAGACCAAACCAACTTGTCTGCGCGGAGTAAAGATGGCCGCCATGTGTACAGTATAGATGCCCATGGTTTCTTGTCTAACCCTTGGACAGAAGGTAAAGACACGGGTGCAGAAGAGGACAGTGGAACGACAGGCTTCGGCAGGGGGCGCCGCAGCAGCCGACCAACAGACACAACCTCAAGAAAAAATAGATGAAACTCATGTTGTTCCTCTGTAGTTGATCTGTCTGTTGATTAGCTGTCCACACCTTTGGAGCAGGTACAGTACATGAGACATTTGATATGTCCCGTCCAACAGATTCTGAAAATCTCCACTGTCTCAGTCGCTGGTTCTCTTATTTTTGTCTGTGGAAAAAGGCTGCCTGGGATCAGTCACTTCTCAGGAAGAAACTCCTGTGAGATTTGACATCTGCAGAAAGTGGGGGTCCAATCTGAAAGGACTTAACACTGGAGACGAGAGGCTTAGCCTGTTAGCATAGCCGAGGTTTAGCCTGACAGTCCTGGGCTTCACATTTGAGCCATACTGAAATGCAGAATATTTGGAAAGCCATTAAAGGGCCAGGACGGTGGTTGAACATGAAGATGGTGATGAGATGACACTGCAAAAAAAAAAAAAAAAAAACTATTGAAAATATAATGAAAACTCTCTGTAAGGAACGGGGCTCTTTGGTCAGTGTGCCCTTCAACTTTGTGCAAAACCAGTGTTGTCAGTAACGAAAAGATGGCTAACCCCGATGCTTCTTTTGAGGAAGAACTGAACTTTGTACAGCTGTTTCTTGTTTGTTTTCTTGTTTGTTTGTTTGTGTTGTCAGAACCACCAGTGAAAAGTAGCACCAACCTTTTTAAGTTGAATATATTGAGGACGGGAAAAGTAAAGGGTCGAGGACTGTCCGTTTTGTTTTTTTTTCCTAACTTCACTTTGGAGTTTGGGACAACAGAGAGACAGGGGACAAACCAGAGGACTACTGTTTTAACATGTTTTGAAAGGCTTATATAAGAATGTGAAAGCTGCTAAGAACCTGTGGTTTCTTGAAGAGGCACTAGCCTTAGTGCTTTCTACTCATGAACCCATGAAAGGGCTAAAAGGTGACGAGTGCAGACCTGGGCCAAAATATATTCTTATAAAATATATTGTCAAGATGAACAGCGTTTTTTTATGTTGAAGGGACATTTCTGTTATTGAGGATCCAATACGTGCAATTTCACTTTATTCTTGAGGATAACTTTACAAATTCAAACGGTAAAACTGGAAAAAACATCGTTTTGTTGTCGTAGGGTTTTAACTTTGTGTTTACTTTGGAGGCCTTTAGTATTTCGCACAATTTGAGTTGTTTAAAAAGTTGTTTTCTCTCTTTACTTCTTCAGGACTAAAGGATTATCCGGTTAGTTAACATAACTACCCTTCTGAAGACTCTGTGATTAACAAACCCAAGAGAAGTTTTTTTTTTCTTTCCAAATGCATTGTCATGTCAGAGAAGCAATGGTCCCGAACTGCAAAAAAAAAAAAAAACAGAAACTTCAGGTAGAGCTGAAATGTTGAAAGCACCACAAAATACACACCAAGCACAGTTAGCACTGGAGCCTCAGCCGTGTCTTTTCACCTGAGGCCGTGGATGAACCTTTCCTTATCAGTAATCCGGAGTGATCCAGTCACATCTAGGCCAGGGGTGTCAAACATGCCGTCCGCGGGCTCAAACTGGCCCGCTAGGTTGTTCAGTCCGGCCCAATTGATGAATTTTGAAAATAAAAAAATATTAAATATGAATAAATAATTATAAATATTAACTACACTTGCATGAAAAGAAACATTGACATATTAATTATAGTTAATTATGTTATAATTGTACTGGTCCGGCCCACTTGACATCTGATTAGGTTGTATGCGTTTGACACCCCTGATTTAGACGGTGTAATGTGGAATTTGATTCACTCTTCGTGTTCAAATGTGTCCTGAATGTACGTAGTTTTTCTGACCACACGGGGGCAGAGTTCTTTCAGATGACTTTCCTTAGATTCAGAGGAGTCTGCCTTGCTGGTCTTACTTTTTTTTTAATGTTCAACATTTAGAACACCAAGATAAATGGAGAGCTTCTCATTGGTCCGACGTATTTTGGACTCAGAGGTTTGGTTTCACTGCTTTAAATCCAAACGATTGTTTGACTCAGGTCTGCTCGAGTGTAGCATGACGTTGGGAAATACCCACATCCTGTGGCAGGTGGGTCTGAAACCTGGAGCACTTGTCAGATATTTGAACCCGATGTAAAGATCCCTCGTCCGCCTGGAGGTGGACTCATGCACTTCATGCTGAAGCCTGGCCAATATGGCCGCCACTGGTACTGAATAAATAACATAAGATATTAGCCAATGTGTTATTCAATTATGAGCATTAAATTTGGAGACAAATGCAAAAAAAATATAGACATATATTCAACATTAGTTATATAATGAAGTTAGACTAAAACCTTTTGCCAACTTAAATGACTTCAGCGCTCTTGAACATGTCATACTAGTCAGTATTTATCAATAAGTCGTATTAGCGTAGCTGTATTCATTAGTCAACATTACTTACGTATCACATGCACAATCTCCCGCACAAAACAAAATGTCTGTGTCGACGCACTGCGGGCTTCTTCCCCGCCGCTGCGTCAAGACAAGACGTGACGGAAAAAAAACCTCAGAGATTTTTCTCACACTTTAGCCGTCGTTGTTCTGACTCTCATTCACTCACAGTATCTCCCGTTAGCAGGGAATCCAGTGTATTAAAGGACTATTGACGCCCATCTATCTGAGATATGCAACATGCTACAGTAGATGTACAGTTAGATGTATGAGACGATAGAGGTAGGCAATATGGTGAGAGAAGATTATATTTATGACTCGGTGTGTTAGAATAAAAATGTCAAAGAGATTCAAAAGGTCAACGAAAGGATGATGACGATGATGTGTTCATGTACCCTACCCCTGATGGACTGTGTGTGTGTGTGTCTGCGTGTGTGTGTGTGTTTTCTCTTTCTCCTCCCTCATCTCCGCAGCCTGATTTTCTTCCTCTCAAATGCATGTGGGTTTGTATTTTTTCTCTGTTTTCTTAATGTCATTCTGGTGTTCTATAAAAGTGAGATAGATTTTCAAATATCCGCTGTCTCCCTGACCTCATTCTTTCCGATGAGATGCAGTTTCTGTTCAAGTACATTTTAAAGACTAATACCTGACATAGATTACCTTATAAATTTTATCTTTATGAATAATTCACCCAAAAGGCATTTGAATGTTGAAATTAAACATGTCTTTCCATCAGTAGGCTGCGATCTTCATGAAACAAATCACCCGCTGAGTGGTACAAAATAAAGGTCGGTTTGAATCGACACAGGAAGTGTCTGTATTTTCAAACTATTGCCTTTTTAGTTCAAATATTTTGGAACATTTTGTTGTGTTGGTTTTTGTTTAAGTTACAGTCCATCTGCACTGGCAGCAGGTAAGTCATTACATGTTTTATTTTATTTAGTTCCTTTTACAAACATAACCTTAATTTTGTCCTTTTTATCTCAGGGGATGTGTTTGTGTCTATGAGGAACTTTGATTTGAACTTGGGCGCAATTAAAGAAAGAGGAAAAGCTAAACTTATTGAATTAGCATTAGCATCTATCCATCCACCCAATGATCTTCCACACAGTGTTAAAAAAGAAATTTAAATATAAAATTAGAGACGGTCCGTTACTAATTTTTACTAATGATGAAAATGATTGGCTCCTTTGGTCAAAGATGTCAAATAGTTTATTGTAAGTGATTCCCAACACAATAACAGCCAACACAGTTGGACAGCCAGTTAGCCACCGCTAGCCGGCTGTCCACCAGTGCTGTTAGCGGTAGCTGTTAGCAACCGTATCGCGGTTGTTATTAAAATGAAAAGCCATTGACAGTTAGATGTAGCGTGTAAAATTTCCAAGTTCTGCATTGGAAACCCATGACATTGAGTCTGAATATTTTTTTAACTTTCGTGGCTACTGGGTCTTTTTGAAATTGAACAGGAAGTAAAACCGTTTTGAGCCTCCCAGCCATTCAATTTTGACAGTTTTACTTTTCGGCTTCACACTCTGTGATGCATTTTATAGTTTGACAATGGTGGTTTAAATAAACTTGAGTTTGTGTTTCTGTTTGACAAAAAAAAATCCAGTATCCCTTTGCTCAAAATTAGCTGCAAAAAAAATTAAAGACTAGTTTGACAATGGTGGTTTAAATAAACCTGAGTTTGAGAATTTGAATTCACCGTCCAATAACAATCTCTTTCCTGTGAACAAATAAACCATCGAAAGGAACACGGCGGTCTCCTTAATACTCTCTCTGCCAAAGGTAATTTGTCTCTTTGTGTCCTTCATTCCGTGGAACCAACCTCCTCCCTGTGCCTGATTAAAATGGACCAAACACAATGACAGAAGTCCATTTTACCAGCTGTATTATTTAGCAGCAGCTGCAGCATCAAAAACGTCCCTCTGTCCACACACAATTAGAGGCGGTCTCTGTTGCTTTCCTGTCCTAATCAGTCTGAGAGCGACCAGGGAAATAATCTCCGGCGCAAATATTTGTTCTTTGTAAACAACAGGTTGTACTCCACCATTACTGATTCATATTTAATTCTGTTTGTTTTTGTTTTTTTGTGGTTTGTCCTCTGGTTGCTTTGGAAACTGTTGGGTTTAAATGAAGAACAATGTTCACCTGGTGATTGGACGCGTTGGAAAATAAAAGATTTCAGGAGCACAATAACAGGTTATGGGTTGACTTGACATTGTTGTTAATTCGTCATTACGTTTGCCAGAATGGTAAAAAAAAACACATAAATTAGTGATTAAATATAACATTATAGAGGAATTATAGGAAATGCATTTGTTTATATATATGAGTGTGAAAAATAAGTGAACGACTCGTGTGTTTCTCTGAAACCAACAACTTATTCAGATTTCTAATTTATTCTGAGCAGGTTTGGCACAAAGGGACCGTCAACGCCGGCCACTGCCGTCCTTCAGCAGCCAATGTTTGTCAACCGGCAAAATGAAGACCGCAGTAGAGCCGAGGGTGGAAACCAGTGTCTGGGAGAAACATTTTCAATTATGTTCGGTGAGTGATTGGTTTTCAGAACCAGATTTTCAGCGTTTTGGTTTTTTTTTTTTTTTCTCCAAATGTACCAGTCGGTTTTTCAGTTTCAGTGTCTAAGTGAAGAGGGAGTGGAAAATAAACCTCCAGCTGAATTTCTTGGAACAAACATGTTTTCATAAATATGCTTTGATTTTGGCTCTAACAAAAGTTTCTCTTGGAAATATTATCTTTTCCCTAAAATAACATTTTACTTTCTTAAATTATAATCACTTCTAAACCCTGTTAGATTTGCATATCGTGACAGGTGGACATTAACTTCCTGTTTGAGAGATAAAAACTATACTGAGGCCCAGAGTGTTCAAACAGTGGCCCGTGGTCCAGAGAGGGGGCTTTGGTCTAAACCTTGTAGTTACCTCCTGTCCTCCAACAAAAAGGTGGCTTTTGTGGTTTGGAAATTTCGTCCTAACTAATGCTATAGCTTTGATTTGAATAGCTCTGCTGTAGAGATGTGATACAATGGACCACAGCTACAGCCACAGCCACAGCTACAGCCACAGCTACAGCCACAGCTACAGCTACAGCCACAGCCACAGTCATTCTCTCTCTCTGTGTCTGCAGCGTGCTGTGCAGTAAAAGGCCCCAGAGGGCAGGAACAATGAGGGAGGCCGTAAAGCACGACATGTAAGTGAAACCCTTCTGTCTTACCTTAAAGAGTCGGTGGTGATGCCTGTGTCAGCACATGTAGCAGAAACAGTGGAGGAGAAGAGGAGGAGTTTTAACTGAGGAGTAAACAGGGCCTGGCACAGGAGCGTCTCCCTGCTGCTGCCAACCAACGCTGGGTGACAAAGGAGAAACCGCTGGGCAACATATCTCTGTTGGCAGAGACACATGCACATACGGACAGATGATGTGCACGTGCACGATCGGTCTTCAACATGTCCAGCAGGCGATAAAAATATATGTATATTTATCAAACCATATTGTACTGGGACACTGCTGATGGTGTTTCTTTCCAGCCCAGTATTTGGTCAGGATCAGTACCAGTTAGACTCTACATTTGTCAATCACGTGCATGTACGGAGGTGCAGAACAATCGCTCTGTACGTGGGTAAATATGTTGGCTGGCGGGTCAGCACCGGTAAACAGAGACATGGAGAAGTGGGGGCAGGTAGAAAACCGAGCATGTTATTACTGCATAATTCCACAGGCCGTTTAGTTGGAGCCACTAAGAGGTTGGATGGATGTGTGTGTCTGCCTGGGAGTGCCTGCCTGTGCACATTACTGTGATGGAGAGCTGGGGGGAGGGGGGCGGGGGGGGAGTCACAGTGCCAATCCTCTCACATCATTTCTAATTCTGGCTAAAGAGTAATTCCTGGTGGAAGAGAAGGGACGAGGACGAGGAGGAGGAGGAGGAGGAGCGGACCTCTAGATGGGTCAGAGTCTGGTTTCGTACAAGGACGGACAATAAACATCAGTCTTGGGAATTGAGCTCAGTGGAGCGGGATAACAAAGAGGGTCAGACGGGGGGCTTATGTTGAGCCTCCTCTCCTATTTACAACACAATGACTCTGGGAGATGAACGTCATTCCAGCTGCTAAACTGTGGCTCCACCTGGAGGAGCGTGGACCAGAAGGTTCCTGAACGTCTTTGAGGTGAAGGATGGACCTCTGATCAAACAGGGACGTAGACGGACCAAATCCAAGGTCCATCCTATGTGGACCACTGATGTGGAGACCCCGATGATGGGACAAGTTGAAATAGAATTCTGCTTGACATATACCAGACATGAACAAACTACGGCCCGGGGGCTGGATGCTGCCCGTTTGGCATTTTAATCCGGCCCCCAAACTTGTCCAAAATATAATATAGATTTTTATTATCAGTTTACTTCTGCCTTTTCTCTGCAATACCTGCATTTCCCCAATAGATGGCATAGAAAAGAGTAAAAGCATTTTTGGATTTTTTACATATCATTTATCCACTGATGACACTCAGAGCCAATCAGAAGCTGAGGCGAGGTCTTTTGGGTAGCGGTGGATTTATTTTGATCAATTCTCCAGTTTCATGGTTTTAGAACAAATATCTGGTCCACAGACCGAGAATCAAACCTGAAGGTCTTACTTCCATTTCATCACCAGCTGTTCCCGCTGAAAGTTTGCCAATTTCTAGAACATTCTGGGTAATACGGCAAAAGCTAATGTTGGCTGAGTTTATCAGCCATATTTAAAGGAGCTCAGAGGTTTGGACAAGCTGGTTCTAAAAGTTGAACATTAACAAAGGGTTCTGATCCACGTTTTTTTTTTGATGCCGCTGGCAGAGGCTGCAGCCGCTGAGTTGGGACGCAGCCCACCAGTGGTTCCACGGACGTTTGCATTGTCCAAATAAAACTGTGCTTATTCTCATTTGCAATTCTAAACTTCTGTCGACCTCTGGGACATTTTCGCCATTAATTCTGTGAGACTGACACTGACTTTTTCAGTGTCGATCTCTGTGTATGCTGGGTTTTTTTTTAGTTTTTTTTTTCTATTTTGGACTTCATTGACTTTCCTGTCAGTCTAAAATGTCCATTGTTTTTCTAACCACATCGTGCCAGTCTGTCTCAGACTCTTTTCTCTCTCTGGGAAGGAAACGTCCACCAAAACTTTTCCCGTCTCCTCTGTTTATTATGCCCTGGTTAATGGAAATTACCCAGGGCATAATAATAATAATGTAAAAATGATTTATCTAGTCTGATGTGTTCTCCAGGTTCAAACCTGTGGTCACCTGTCGTCTGTGCTCATCCACACCCCCGTGTGTCCGGGGGCGGGGGGGGGCAGACTGAGTGACACGTCCCCAGATTGAATTAAGAGAAACCGACAAACAGCGTCCTCTGTTGTTGACCTGCTAATTGGCGGCGGTGTTTTGGCCCGACCCCTGCGGCCTCTCTTTATCTCGCCGCTGCATTCCGTAAACACCGACAGCGCAGGTGGTGCGTCCGCACAGAGCAGCGTCTACGAGCCTTTGCTCCGGTTGCCAACGAGATGGCAGACGTGAGCGCCATCAAGCTCTCGACCTCAACATCTGCCGTGTCAGCTTGTTAATTAGCGGCAAACATCTGTTAGCCTCGGTGCTAAAGGACTGGAGAGTGTGTGAGTGTGTGAGTGTGCAGAGAGAGAGCAGGGCTGGAGATACGGCCGTAAAAAACCTGGAGTTGGAGACCACACGGCTGTCAGAAGTCATTTCACAGGTGTTATATTTTCCACACAGCTACGTTCTTACCGTGCTACTGATATATAATACAATCAGTCGGTGTCTGTGAATGAACGGCGGCTAAACCACGTGTGCTCTCAGCAGATAATAAATAAAGGCTCGAGGGTTGGAATTAGTTAAAAATAAATAAATAAGAAAAAGAAACATGCTATTTTGTGCTACTGCAGTTTTTTTCGACCGTTTAAAATGTACTTTAAATCAGTGATTCTGAACCGTAGGGCCGCAGCCCAAACTTGGGCCATCAGTGAGAGGTCTGTGTTCAACCATCGTCCATTTCTGTCCAGTCCAGTGAACTGTTGAGCCGATCTGTACTTCTTCTCAGCCAATCAGAGTGGTGAACCGTGATTTGACAGCCTTCCTCCTCACGGTTGTTGACTCAGACTAGAGGTCAACAGTGGTACTGGTCGTCTTTAAGGTTGTTGACCTGGTACTGTGTGTGTTTCTAGTACTGTATGTCTCGTAGCTGTTTGTCTCATTTTGATATACTGTATGTCTCGTAGCTGTTTGTCTCTCTGATGCATTTCAGCAGCAGCTTGAATCTGATTGGTCAACCTACACTTTTAAATTCATGATATTTTTTATTAACAAATGTACAAATGAACATTTGTGGAGTCACAGCCTCTCCTCTGTAGTCCTGGGAGCTGAGGCCCAGCGGTGGTTGTGTTGTCAGTCTCAGCGACTGAAAGGTTGAGGTGAACTTTTCTGCACAGCTCGTCTGGCGGTGTCTACAAAGTAGCAGAGGAAGCAGAGCGACTCCGTGACTATATTTAACTCTCACTTTGAACAGTTTTGTTAAGAGTTTGTTGCTGCCTTCGCTCGCTGCCGTTTTCCATGGCAGGTGTAATTTTAGATGTCACATGTGGTGGCGTTGAAAGCAGCTTTTGGCTCTGGATCCTATAACAAATAACAATTTCTCCGTTAATTAAATTAGGTCGGTTTTAGTCCTCTGAAATCACCTGCAACTTATTAATGGTACCTTTGTCTTGTCTACCGTCGTCTAACACTGGTCCATGTGTTGTTAGGCAGAGCCACAGCAGGTGTGAGTCATCGGTCAGTTCAGTTCAGTTAGTGACCAGAGTCACTGTGACTTGACTTCCCACACAGGAAGTGAAGTCAGACGCTCTGCAGGAGACGGACGTGTCTCTAGACTCACTTTTCCTCATTTTTTGAGTGGATTTGAATTATTCATTTTATAAAGTTTCTGTGGAATTGGAACAAAATGTTTAATAATTACTATAATGTATAATAATGAGTAAAATGAAAAGTTGGGGACCTGGAAATTATGCATAAAATGTGTTCGAAAAAGTGTCAAGTGTTTTATAAAAATAATACATTTACCCATGACATTAATTATTTTAGTCAATATTTATTAATTAGGATGATGGCTTTGAGTCATGTCTTGTAGTTTGTATCAAATACTGAAGTATGTGAAGTATGTGCAGTATATAAAACTATAAATACATGTTGTTAAGTGTACCGGACACAGGGGCCCGTTGTCATGTCCTTATGGACCAGACGTAGGAATTGTTGAGTCATCCTGAAGTCATGTTTTGTTTTCTTTCCGCCTGTTTCCACTGAAGCTTGATGTTGTAATCTCAGGACAGATCGTGGCTCCGTGACCCGTCTCTGTCACTGTAGCTGACGTGTCTGCACTCACAGGTGCCGACGCCACCCTGAGACCTCGGCCTGTGTCGGCCTGACTCTGACACTGACTCACGGTCTCTGTGGAAGACAAACCAGCACGGAATTCTTCCAGAATCCATTCTTCCTGTTGTCCTCCTCCTCCTCTTCCTCGGCCTTGACTGCGACGTGTTTTCCAGGTCTTCTTCATGTTTAAATGCATGCGGCCGTCACTGAAACATTCATCATTTCCATATAATAACACTGTCAGGGGGAAACCCAGATCTGGCGGAGATGCTCATGCAAACCAAGGTCGTACAGATCGTGATCTATCTGGCCGTCGCTTTACCTCCAGGCTGCCTGTAGACAACTACATAAATACTGGAGCACTTAAGCATTATCTCAGGCAGGAACGAGGAGCACACGTGTAATCTGTGTGCACCGCACCACTGCAGATACAGCGCTCCATCAATTTAAAAATTTCAGATCAAGGATACAGAGACGGGAAGAAGAGGAGGAGGAGGAGGAGGAAGAGGAGGGAAATAATAGAAGACGTGGATGAAAACAGATTATTAGGTTCGGTCTCTGGGCTGTTGGTGGTGATGAAGAATTTGGAACAGGTTCAGTCATTCATCTTCTATCGCTTGGTTTCTTTTCAGGGTTTGTGAAAGCATCGCAGCCACCGGGTGAAGGTGGACTAAACCTTGGACAGAGGCTACAAATGAAGACAAACAACCGTCCACACTCCCTGTAAAACCTGGAGTGGATTTAGACTCAATTTAAAGTCACTTGTCACTTTGGACCTCGGTCTCCACTGACACTTGACATTTACCAGTCGGTGAGGCTGGAAAATCCCTTGTTCTTTTCACTTCGTCTAAACATGTTAAATCAAAACAGTCTGTGATCAATTAATCTAGTCTGGTCTCTGAACCTCACACAGATATTCAGTCTGAATGTGGACTATGGAAAGAAATCAAAACCCTGAGAAGTGCATCGCAAAACCTGTCTGTTTATCAACCTTGGGGTCGCAGCCCAACATGGGTTCGCCTGGAATTCAAAAAGCGGTCGCTTGAAATGTCTAGTTAATAAAAAGTGTTAAAAATATTTTTTTCAACTACTTATAATTCTTTTATTAAATTATCATTATCATTATCCTAAATGATCATCTTAAACTGTGTTCTTTTACATTCATGACTATAAAACCCGTTCAAATCAAATCAGCGTAAATTCAAATATCTGGTCAAAACCAATTCTAGACAACAAAAAAAAAAAACCTCTCGGGGTTCGCTAAAAATCTGTAACGTCAGAAAGGAGTCACAAGCCAAAAATGGTTCATAGGACCCTTTAGCTTTAGCTGCGTCTCATCTTCTCCATCCTTTAGTGTGAGAGCAGTTATTACCAGGAAATCATCACATAAAACTCAACTCTGATGGAATAAGTTGGGAAATTGGAAGTTGATTTTTTTTTAAATGTCCTTTAGTGACTCTGCTCTGACGTGTGTTTGAATGAGGCTCCTGTGCAGCAGTGAGTGACTCTCATCCACTGAGGCACAGGTTCGTCACTGAGAATAAAATATTTCTTTTCAGGGGGGTAAAAACAGGGGTAAACATTGAGGTCAGGAGACGTCCTGTCTAATCTTGATTTAGGATCACAGAGTATTAATAATATCCTCTCTTTAATCGCTGTCTTTATGCTGCTTTCACAGGTGAAATACTGCACAGAGTGTTACAGCAGCAGCAGCAGCAGCGTAGAGGCAGGAAGTCAGGCGTCACACTCCTGCTGACAAGCCGTCCTGCAGACGCGGAGGAAACGAGGCCCCGGGAGGAGGCAGATCTGAGAGTTAATGATCTTTCTCTATGCAGAGGCCACGGTTCAGAAGGCACCGGGGCGATGGGAAGAGGCAGAACCCCATTAACTCAGTGACAAGGGAGAGTCGGTAACCAGTAATACACTCTCTCTCTCTCTCTCCTGCGTCTCCCCCGTCTCCCTCGTCTCCCTCGTCTCCTCTCTCTCTCTCTCTCTCCTGCGTCTCCCTGGCCTCCTCTCAGGTGTTGGGTCCTCCCTCTGCCTCCGTCTCCCTCCTCTGCACCCTGTTCCTCCTGGAGGTTGAACTGTTGAAATGTCTGCAGTCAGCAAATCCACAGCGTTTTTACACTGTGCCACAGGTCGGTCTTTAATCTCTGACTTTTATCTTTTTCCACATCCACAGGGGAGCAGGAGGAGGAGTAAACTCTAACCACGTACTTAAACCAAATCATCACAATTTGACCAATCAAAACCAAAACAATTGGTGATGTAAGGTAATAGCAAAAACCACTGTTGCCCCTTGTGGCCAAAAATGATATTATTGTTTGAAAAACAAGTCTGTCATCACCGCGGTGGTGCAGTGTGGTGTTGGTGTCCTGGTCAGGATGACCTCAGCTTTTCTCTGATCCTCTTTTCTTTTTCATTCAATTCACTTACTTCCTGCTTTTCAGTCTCTTTTCTTTTCATTTTTTTTTCTTCCCAGGAGACCAGAGAACATGCCTTTTTTTAGTTGAGCCGTCAGATTAAATTTAATTAAAGAATATTGAACAGTTTAACGCTCAGTCTGGGGGATTGGATTTGATCAGAGTTTGGCTCCAGATCCTGCTGCTTCAATTAGAGCTATTATTATATCATAAAGAGAGACTCAGATCCAGGATGAGACACGACACGTGTCAGGGGTATCCTGGAGGACGGGCTCTCCAACTCCTGGTCCGTGGACCGCTAACGCTCCGTGGGTCTTTTGGTTCTGGGTCGGAGAGAATTTATAGTTTATTTAGTTACTTTACTTTAATTTTTTTCACAATGATATATCTTTGATACTAACAGAATAAATTCAATTTTTTATTTTTGTAAATTCACAGATCATGGCCGACCTACTGGGCGAGCAGTCCTTGGTAGGGAAGAAGAAGAGGAAGAAGAAGAAGAAGACCAAGACCAAGACTAAGACGAAGACGAAGAAGAAGAAGAAGTCCAGGACTTCAATCACTGCTTACTATTATCTGTAAAACGTCTACTTGACTGAAGCTTTCACACATCACACACACAGACAGACAAATCAATCCAAACCTCGATCAATCAAAAGTTGCCAACAGGAAAACAGGAGATTGAGTGAACCTGAAGTGAAGGAGAGAAGACGGCAGAGAAGGTAAATGTCAAATGAAGTTGATGCTAAATGTTATATTTGACAAACAAACTTCACTGATGGCAACGATGCAGCTCATATTCCTTCACTTGACTTTTTTTTTTCTTTTTTCTTTGGTATTAAACAGAGATGCTGGGACGGAGGATGTGTCCAAAAATGTTGGTCGAGGTTGGACATCTTGGAGACGTACCATTCAGGTAAAAGCAGTTTGGGTTTTTTTCCCTTTCACTGAAAAACAAAACATTTTAGATTTATTTATTTTAAATGCTGTATTTCCTTCCAATCAGATTACAGTTTTAGATTCAAACATTTCTATAAGATGACCTAACAGTTTCATTAGTGTCATACATTAGTAACATGTCTCTGCCTCACTGCCGTGTCTGTCTTTACATAATGGCTCTCGCTATAGAGGAAAAGAGCCCTCTGCCGTTCAGTTAGTGGAACTACAACACGACTGTCTTGTTTTCTGTGTTTATTAATCATCGGCTGCAGACAGCAGATGATCTAATTCCTTTATTTACATTTTTGACTCACTTTGCTTCTATGAATCACTACGTACAGGAGTGACGTCATCATACTGAAGTACAGAGCGGTAACCAATAGTATGGTTATCAATCACGCTGCTCTTTATTCATCCTAGAACTGCGTTTATCTTTTAAAAAACACGAGACGTGAAAATATATATATATATACATTTATTCTGTAGAACTGCACTCACAACCACACCTGTGCTACCAACGCTGCACCAAGGTTTATAAGGGCAAAAAACGTGGTGAAATGTCGCCACCTAGTGACCGGAGTTAGATTTTACAGGAGGAAAACGGTGAGATGTGGACGGTTACAGTTAAACATCAATGAATATGAATGAAGGAACACGTGGAGCTGTGGCTCAACAACTCCATCAACAGATTAAAGATTTTAATAAACTGATTAATTAAAATTTAGCTGTGGCTCAACAACTCCATCAACAGAGAACTAAATAATTAAAATTAAAATTGTATCTAATTTCTTTTAACTTAACTCTCTCTTTGCTATGACAATAAATTCTAATATGTTTCAAAAGTGGTCAATTTGTGGAAAACAGAATTACATCTAATCTTTGTTTTGATTATTAATAATTAAGTCGTTCTGTTCTGTTCTATTCGACTCTGTTCTATGTCCCAGGTCTGACTCCAGGTCGATCATTTATTAACTTGATTTATTGAACATTAACTTCCTGTCAGCGCCGACTTTAAACCACACCCTGTTCACACCGGGATTATTAAACCACGTGTTTGTGATCGTGGTTTTCACTGAATCATGAATCAGAACCGAACTGTAACAGAGGTTCGTTTGGTTCTGTTGACTATGAGAGATGTTTCTGGTGCGCACCAAAACGTTTTGTGGTGCAGAAACTTTTTCTTTGTCTTTTTTTTTTCCGTTGCACAGCAACCAAACATTCAATTATGCGGAAAAGCGGGTTTGAGGATTTCACTTCCTCGTGTTGGGTTTCATCGAACTCTCCTCCCAGTTTTCACAGACAGAGACCGACAGAGAGAGACAGGAGTCCGGGCGGGATCCCTGCTGCTGGGATTGGTGACTGTTTCAGATCTGGCTCCAAATTCTGTCCTGACAAACTTCAACCACCTCCATCTGAGGAGTGGGTGAGAGGGGGGAGGTGTGTGAGGAGCGGATGGAGAGGCCCTGAGTGAAGGAGACTTCATGGAGCTGAGAGAGAGAGAGCAGAGAGACATTACCTGTGCGCACTTGTCTGTTGGACGGAACGTGGAAAAGGGGAAGTCGAGCGCACGGAGGAGACACATCTTTACGCGCCCTCCCTCCTCCCTCCCTCCTCTCTCCCCCCTCTCTCTGTCTCCCCCTCGCTCTCTGATCACCGACATGTCGGCAAACGAGAGATCAACTCGAGCGTTGAAGGAGATCCTGCAGAATCCGGGAAATGACACCTGCGCGGACTGTGGAGCTCCAGGTAGGACCGAGGTAGACTTTAAGAATCATTGACTGTGAAGGGGACGGGGGGAGAAAGAGAACCGGCCAGACTTTGACCCACAACCCTGAGGCTCCGGGTAAAAAAACCTGACCCAAAGTGTAGCTTCATCATCTCCGTCTTTACAGTCTTTACACAAAAAACTTCTCTCCAAGTTTGTTTGTTTGTTTAAAATCAATTTCCAGACACATAAATGTGGTTAAAAAAAAAAAAAAGTTGTGCCTTTGCGTCGGTGAGGAGTGAGGGGGAGGAGCCTGGAGGTACAGGTACAGAAGTTTTCTGCGGCATGTTTTGACACGAAGTGTTCAAAAAAGACGCCCTCGTCTGCTGCTGCTGCTGCAAAAAAAAAAAACAACAGAGAAAGAAAAAATAGTCTAATTTCGCTTTATTGCATTTTTATAAAGATCAGAGACAGATTTCAGTTGAAAACTAAGTTGGCAGAGTTAATAAAATAAATATACACCGAAAAATACGCTGCTGTTTATTGTAATATTTGGTGATTTTTATAGAGAGTTTTAGTTTTTCACTACAAATCTGCAAGTTATTTTCAGTCATTTGTTGATTATTACAAAGTGAATGAACTGAAGTGATAAGATTAAACCAGTGGTTCTCAAACTGTGGGGCTGGGCCCCTCTTGGGGTGTGTGTATTTCTTTGGGTGGAGGGTTCTAGAAGGTCAAATTATTATAATTTTTGTTTTGACAGTGAGAAGAATTCACAGGTTTGTCATTTGATTTCATTTTTCAATTTTAAAGAATAACAGTTTTAAATAAAATTCACACACCTTATACACACCTGCCAATTATAGCTTCACTTAAATATCGTCACAGTTGTGTTGGACAGGATCCACCAACAGAGAAATGACTTCCTGCTCTTCAGGAACGAAGGAGGATCAACTTCAGAGTTAAATTATCTCTGTCTCCTACAGTAACCCATGCTTTGTCTTTTGTTTTTTTGTTCTTACCTTTACCCACCTGCAGCTCCTGGCTGGGGGTCCTGCTCTCTGGGGGTGTTCATTTGTCTGGCGTGCTCAGGGATCCACCGCAACATCCCAGAAATCAGCAAAGTGAAGTCCCTGAGCCTGTCACGGTGGGAGGACCAGGAGATGGAGGTAGATGTTGTTTTGTTTCTTTTTTTTACTCAGCTTCACATCAATACATGGATTAAATTAGTGACTGTGGTTTCAACATGAAACTCAACCTAAATATTTAGTCAACAATCCAGTTACAGAACTGCAGAAGTTTTCCTCATACTTCCACCTTCCTGAAATAAAACCAAAATGTGAAAAACAGACTTGAAACAGAAACAGTTAAAATAAGACTTTATCAGTTGACGCCTGACACATGAACTGTCCCTTTAAATGAATATTAGTTTAACCCACGACGTTTATTTTTACCTTTAAAAAAGGACAGAAGGAGGAAAAAGTTGTTCAGAGAAAAGCAGTTTAGCTGCTAAGAAATCTAGACTATTTCATGACTGATAATCCTGTAATTACTGATGTCACTTCTCATTAACTCGTATGTTTCAAAGTGTTAATTGTCAAATGGTTAAAAGTATTTTTCTGATCTAAGAAAAAAAAAATTTGCTGTTTTCTTTAAAACCTTGGATGGAGAATCATGAATTTTACAGATAAGGCCTGTAAATGATGTGAAGGATTCTCAGAAATAAATTTAAAAAAAACAAAGTTGCCAGTACCTTTCACAGCTTTATCTACTGCGTTTTAAATCATTTTTATTGCCCGTTTTTTTTTTTACTTAGTGTGAAAGAATTTAACGCCTTCCTCCTCTGACGATGTGCAACTTTATGAAGTTTTGAATTTCATCAGTTTGTGTGTGTGTGTGTGTGTGTCTTCAGTTCATGGCAGAGAATGGAAATGAGCTGATGAAGAGTAAATATGAGGCTGCCGTTCCCATCTACTACTACAAACCCACTCACAAGGACTGTCAGTGAGTAACTGCAGTACTACACACATACAGTACGTAGTTGTAGTACAGAGTATTGTCAAAGTTATCGGAATACACGTTTCCGTCGGTGAATTCTCAGGTGTTTTCCACAGATGGTTTTTTTAGCCTCCACCTACACTGAACCTCCTCTCGACACTTTCCGGTGCTGTTGTGGAAAAATTTACCAGAGTTAGAAGAAAAGTCAAAAGGTCAATATTTTTGTTGACGGCGTCATCGCCAAACAGCAATGTCAGAAAAAGTATTAAAAAGTAATGAAATCAATTATGTTGTTCTTGAGCGTGTTTAGTAGAACACAACACTGATGTAGTCACAGGAATTGAAGAAAAAAAAACACTTCAACAGGCTCTCCTTTTTTTAGTGTTTATAGTATCTGCTGCCACCTAGTGAATGACTTTTTACGACAAACAAGTGAAATTAGGGAATCGACCACAGTAGACCTGATGTCCTCTCCAGGGACCGCAGCCCGGAGGTTGGAAATCACAGTCCTTGTCGGTAGTGCAACATTTTGAGGTCAGCGTTTCATCACACACTCGTGTCGCAATAGAATCGATGCTCGGAAGATAAAGACGGAAGGCTGGAAGGAAGCCGTGATTCATCACAAGAAAGAAAAGAGGAAGAAAGAAAGTTATTTTAGTGCGACATCATCTTCACTTTAGATCTTTTCAAGACTATTCCAAAAAAAGTTTTTTGAGCTTCACTCATCACCGTATCTCGACAGTAATCTTAGTTTAGTTTTATGTCGTCAGTAATATCTTTGGAATATTTTCTTGCTCGTCTTAGTTTAGATCTCCTAACCTTTCCCTCCGCACTCATCCGTTAACAACTTCCTGCTCCTCCAACTTTTCCAGGCCGTGACCTGCTGGTGTTGACCCTGTTCCAGGGTCGCCGTCCTCCGTCCTCGTTAGTACTTCCTGTCTCAGCTTCACCTGCTCCGACCCTCTGACTCTCAGTTGTTGTTGTCTGTGACAAAAGTCACCTTTATTGTCTGGTTTCTGTCGACGCGTCGCGACTGTCACGCCGTCACCGCGCGTCTGCGTCTGAGAGGAAACAGGAGACGGTTGTGAAGTCCAACCACCGTCTCGTATCGAGTTACTGCGGAACGCTGATGCAGAGGAATGTTTGGGGGGGGTTTCTGAGAGGGAGGGGGGGCAGTAAGTCTGAAGGTAACATCTATTAAACAGTGCAGGACATGACCTTTGACCTAAATATAGTCACATCCAAATCCAGTTCCAAACTGCACGACAGGAAACGACGAGTGTTGTTCAGTCTGTGAGGTGTTAACGAGAGTGTGTTAATTAGACGGTTGTTGTCAGAGAGATTTAAAGGTTTTCAACGCAACAGATTAAAACATTATTTCATAATTTTATTCCTGACACAAACAACTGAAAATGATCACCAAACTTTACAGTTTTATTTTTTAAAAGTTATGATCACCAAACTTTACAGTTTTATTTAGCCACATAGTTTAATTTGCGAGATATTTTTTGTATTTCCTTTGATACGTTGGGTGTTTTCTGCTCAGACCAACGTTGATTTTAAAAATAAAAACAACTTTTGACCAACACTTCTTACCATAGGACACTAGAGGCAGCGTTTCTCTCTTTGTAGCAAATATGATACAAACAGTTTTACAGTTTTGAAATGACAGCATCAGAAGGATGGAGGTGTTGTTTCCACCTCTTCTTTTCTGAATCAAGACCAAAACAAAAACTCCACAGTGACACACACACACACACACACACACACACAACTAAAGCTAGTGAAGCCTTTGTTGTAAAGAATTTGCCGCGTTATTAGCGAGGAATTTAATTAAGATTATGATTAAAAATAATTTGACTGACACAACGTTGGTCAGAGTTCAGGTGGTTCTTTTTTTTTTTTTTTTTTTTTGCGTGTATTCAGGGTGTTGAGGGAGCAGTGGATCAGAGCCAAGTACGAGAGGAAGGAGTTCACTGAGCCGGGGAAGAATTTTACATATGAGGAAGGTGAGTGTGTGCGAGTTCAGGTGGTTCTTTCACACACACACAGACACACACACACACGCAGATATAATTTAAAATACATCATGTCAATAATGTATGTGTGTCCTACAGGAACCAGAGATGGAATATTGATGAAGAGGGGGCGGGACAACGGCCAGTTCCTCAGCAGGCGATTCGTTCTCTCAGAGAGGGAGGGTACTCTGAAGTATTTTATCAAGTATGACGTAAGGAGCAGCTTTTAATCATCGGCTCTCACACACACACACACACACACACACACACCAGAGAGTCGTAACCTTCCTGTAATGAAGTTTTAAGGTCATTCATTGCTCACTCCCCCCCCTCACCCCTCCTCAATCCAACCACATCACAGACACTTTAATTAGAAGCACAGTAACACACCGGAGACGACACCCCTGCATTATGTTCAACTGTGTTTGTGCCCAAACTCAGAAGACAAACGAAAACCTAGAGCTCGGGTTTGTACGTCTGAATCTGTCCTGCCAGTAGGGGGCGTGGGGGGCAAATGGGTCTGACGTCCCAGGTATAAAATCCGTTCTAATTCACGTCAGGACAGATGAGTTCACAGTCATTCGCTGATGATGTTTCTCAGCTGTTATCATGAAGTTCAAAGTTTTGATCCAGTTGTTTTTGGTTTAAATATTTTCATTGACTACAAAAAAAAACTTCCAGTCTACATTCCACACACACACATACCTGGACATACCTGCACATACACGTTTTTTTTTTTTCAGGTTGATCATTTTTTGAGAATCCCTGACTGTTTTAGGTTCTTTCCGAGGAGCCAGAGTTTTTTTTTTTTTTTCTTTTCGACCCAGTTTTTTCCCTCGTTTGTAAAATGACTCGCTCTCCTCACTTCATAAAAGGCAAAGGAGCCCAAAGCAGTGATCAAGGTGGACACCATCAACGCCACCTTCCAGCCTGAGAAGATCGGGAACCCCAACGGCCTTCAGATCACCTACCTGAAAGACTACAGCACCCGGAACATCTTCGTCTACCACGAAAACGGCAAGGTGGGTTTGACGGAATGACGGAGAGTGAACGCACCGGTGTCACCCTCCTCCCCCTGGAGCCATTTGTAATCATTATTGTCGCTGACAGAGTTAATCAGCGTGTGATGTTCAGGCCGTTTAATCGTTCTGAGGAAAAACATGGAACTGAAACGTAATTGGTCGACGGTTGTTGTTTTAGAAAAACAAGTCATGCGTTAAATGTTAATGAGGAATGTGATTTGTCCTTGATGCTCCGAAGAGAAAACTAGTCTCATTAGTGTAATTATATATTTATTTATTTAATTGAATGTCGGAGAACAAACGCTTACGTACAGTAAACTGTTTACATCAAATTTACATTTACTACAAAAAGACTTCATTACGAGTGTGAAAATAATTCATCTGGACCTGTTTACTGTAGTGATGCAAATGAATCAGTACTTCTGGAAACTCACCCTTGGTTGAGTTTATGGTCTTACAGTAATATAGTATAAAAACATATAAAGATTGTGTTTCATCTTTGGTCAAACTGCAGACTCTGCTGGAGCTCGAATTCTCTGGTCAGGAATGATGAGTCAGCGTTTGAACAAACGTTCTGTTCATGTCGATGAAAACTGTTTAAAACTTTTAAAAGTTTTTTACACAACAACATCAAATGGCGCCCCCCCTTCGCCCCCCCCTCCCCCGTCTTCTTCTTCTGTATCTTCTTTACTTCATCAGGTGATAGTTGATTGGTTCAACTCCATCCGTGCAGTTCAACTTCACTACCTAAAGGTGGCGTTCCCCGGGGCGACAGACGCTGAGGTAATGACAGCCACGATGACGATCGTTTTTCTGTGTGTGTGTGAAGTGTGTGTTTAATCTGTGTGTTTGTTTCCAGCTGGTGCCGAAACTCACCCGTAACTTTCTGAAGGAAGGATACATGGAAAAAACTGGACCCAGGGTGAGTACTACACACAATACACACACTCACAGTACTGTAAACGACGTTTGGTTTCAGACGTGTGTGTGTCCTACAGAGGTGTAAGAAAAAATTGATACATTATTGACACAATATTGGAAATATATATATATATATGTTCTGACTGTGAGGAGTTATTTGTATGCACATTTCTGAGAAAAAAAACAACTGGTTTGAATTCTCAGACCTGTTGTGGTTGTTGCTGTTGCTGCTGTTGTTGCTGTTGCTGCTGTTGCTGCTGCTATTGCTGCTGTTGTTGCTGCTGCTCAGTTGAACCCGTCTGTGATTCAGATGGTAAAAACCAGGTCGTTCTCACTCACGTCCGACTGTTTCCTCTCTTGTCTGAACAGCAAACAGAGGGATTTAAGAAGCGCTGGTTCACCCTGGACCACAGACGACTCATGTACTTCAAAGACCCGCTGGTACTGCAGTTTCACACACACACAGACAGACACAGAGCAAATTCCCAAGTTCCAAATCATCCATTTCTATTACAGGCCTGGTTTTGAGACTGTGGGTTTGTTTCCCGAACTCTAACGACCAGTAAAAGCAGCGTTGATGGTTCTCTTGTGTTTTCAGGAGGAAAAAAACAAAACAAAACAAAACAACGACATTGTTAGAAATGGATCCAGGAGTTATTTTCCATCCAGTTCATTAGATTAGGCAGACAGTGTGTGTGTGTGTGGGGGGGGGGGAATGGGGAGCTCTGACTCACAGAGTGATGTGACAGTCTGTGGTGCAGTGTTGTTATACGCCACCTAGTGTCCAGTCCTGTCACGGTAGAACACTGTTCAACATTTACTGTATTTTGTGGGAATAAAATAAGTTTCTTTTTTAGAGAAGGTTCATAAATATTCCTGTTGATCTGGATCACATGACAAACAACAGTTTGAGTCCAACAGTGCTGCAGAGTTCTGGTTTATGATGTCATCGACCTGCAGTGTTTCGTGGTCAGGTCAACATCTCTGATTATTTTATTTCAAAAGTTTAGTTCCATCATTTTGACGTACGGCGAAAACGGCGCTACGCTGGTGTTGTTAGTGCCCTTCGTTCTGGCTCACAGGCGTCAGTCAGACTGGTTTTTATGTCCTGGATCAAACTTTAAGGCCCTCTAAGCCCGCGGGATCTTAAAAAGCATTTAGTAAATTCTACAAATAAGAGCCGTAATCGACCAAACACGTAAAAATCAATCATTTTCTCTATGGACTTTGGTCTGGGATATGAAGTAAAAAATAATAATAATAATAATTTTTATTACCAATACTAACTCAGCTGTATTTACGTCTGCACAGTGGATTGAAATGATTAGAACTGACAGGGTTTGGAAAACCGGTTTCCAGGCTCTGATGTCGTTCCAGGTGCTTGTAAAAATAAAGAATTAAAGGCTGTTGAACTGGAAGTCAGCTGTAATTAAAGTTGTTACCATTCAGAGAAACGAGAAAGACGAGTACAGAGAGGTTGACCTGACGGTAACTCCACGGTAAAACCACCTGGGAACTCTGTTCCACCTCTGCTCGTAGGACGCTTTTGCCAAAGGCGAGGTGTTCCTGGGGAACAAGGACCACGGCTACAGCGTCTACACAGGTTTACCGGCGGGAACCCACTGCAACGGCGCCTGGCAGCACGGCATCACCATCGAGACGCCCGAACGCTTCTTCCTGTTCACCTGCGAGACCGAGAGTGACCAGCAGGAGTGGGTGAAACACTTCAGTGAGGTCATGAACGCCGTCATGTCTCCACAGGAGTACACAAGTGAGGGTTCAAAACCACACTGGCACAGTATTTGACTATTACTGCGTTTCTGTGTGTGTTTTTTTTTTTCAGCTTTGAACAGTAAATTAGACAAAATTAGAACTTATAACCACCACTGTCTAAATCAATAGGTTCCCAAGGTGGGGGGCATGTGCCCCCTGGGGGCGTGAAGTGGTGGCAGGCGGGTTGAAGATTCTTTATTATTTTGAATTTGTGATTTGAGTTTCTGTTCATTTCTCTGTGTTTCAGTGGAGGCCATGTTCAAGCACAGGCACTGATGGACCTGAGGCCCGCAGTACCGTGTCCCTCCTCTGGTCCCAGTCCATCACCAGCAGGAGACGTGACCTGTGTAAATTCTGACAACTTAAGTGCTCTGTGTGTGTACTGTCAGCCTGCTGTTGGTAAGGTGGAGTACAAAACAAATATACCCTCAAAAAATACTTCATAACACTACTGGACTTTGTGCTTGCAGTACTACTGCAGTACTACTGCAGTACTACTGAGTCAAACCCACACAACTCAACACTAGGATCAGGTCTTTACTCAGACTTCCTCTAAAACCAGTGACTACATTTGACCTTTGGCCCCTTTAATCTGACGAACCTTTGACCTTTGAGTTACATGTAGACATGGTCGTTTGACTGAAATACTGCTGCTGCCCTTTCACCAGGTACGTACTAACTTAGACCGATGGTGTGACTGAAAGTCAAATGACTCTGGCACGTGTACTCTAAATGTGGCTAAAGCTAAGCCTGGGCTTCGATCTGCAGGTATAAGAAGTGTAACGAGAAGCAGCGGTCACGTTGAGGGTCAAAGTTCACCCTTAATGAACAACAAAAACAAAAAAAAAAACAGGTGCTAATTTTGTAAATTAGAAAGAGCAAAGATTTTTGCATGAGTCAAGCATTCTTCTGGATAAATGAACTGATGCGCTAGGCTAACACGTTAACAACTGATATGCTAATAAAGAAATATATAAAAATAATCAGACATTTATTTCCCTCCAGTTGTAACCATGAGATTCTGACATGTTTTATGAAACTCTAACACTCCCTTACCGCAGCTTCAGGACTCGTAGCTTCTCGATCCCTGGAGTGACGCTCACAAATCACACTTTGTACAGAAATCTGTTGCATCTTTGATTGATCCTCCGTTCACTTGTTGTTGTTTTGTTTTTTGTTTTTTTTGTTTTTATAAAAACCAACAGCCGTTATTGGGTTTTTTTCCCGTTCATTTTGTTACTTTTGAACCAAGTATTGCTTGTCAGGTTTGGGGGCTCACGGGTGTTTCATGTTGCATGTGCTGTTTCTGTTAAAGATCATATTGAAAAAAAAAAAGTTAAGAAAAATTAAATCCTTTCAAACAAATGCGATTTCATTTTTGGTCGTGAAACTGTTGACAAGAATAAAAAACAAATGTTCTTAAAATTAAAATAAAATCAAAGTGTCTGTGAACCGGAGTGCAGTGCAAAAAGTAGTACAACAGCACCACCGTGTGGAAAAAATGCACAACTACTGTTGGCCATGTTTTTTTTACACTAAAAACAACATCAGTTTGAATGGCATTGTTTTGATTTAGTAAAAGATAATTAGCACAACTACTGTTGGCCATGTTTTTTTACATTAAAAACATCAGTTTGAATGGCATTGCTTTGATTTAGTAAAAGATAATTGCTCTGAATTGTTAATTAATTTATCCATTAATGGATTGATGGATAAAAAAATAAAAGGTAAATTCATAGATTTCTAAATTCAGAAAACACAAATATAAAGGTGTTAACATTTATTCACCTGTATCTGTCTCAGCTGTTTTTCGCTGCGGTGTCTAAAACTCCACCTTGGTGCCTGGAGGTTTCCAGTCCTGGCCTGGAGAGGTCCACATCCGTGTTCACCTCGTTGATCAGGAAGTCACTGTTGCCCCACGGGGGGGGGGGGGGGGGGGGAGCGGGGGCTCAGTGGGCAGACAACAGGTCTCAACACTCAGCTGCCGTCTTTTAACAAAAACCCAAAGATGGACGAGGTTTGGAGATTCAAGGAGTGAAATGTTCTGAAGGAAAAAATCATCCAAACATCTCAGAGAGGAGCAGCAGTGGAGCGTCCTGGAGGAGTCTTCCAGGTCTGAGGATGTGGAGTTACCAAGTGGAAGGATGAAGAGTTGGATTTGAGTACAGGATGTTGATCGTCGAGGCCCGTGGAGACGGCTCAGTGAAGAAGACTAGTTTTCTCGGAGATCACATCAAGATGTTTGGAGCAGAATTTTCAGAAGAACCCTGACTCCCACATGATCCTCGTCACATGGACCTGAGCTACAAACCCGACGGAGGAGACGCTGCTCTCAGTCCACGGTCTTCTTCTGGATTTATTTGAACTAAAACCATTCTTGGATTATCAGCCTGGGTTGATGGACCGGAGCTTCAACGTTCAGAAAGGTGGTTGTTAGAAACTACTTCACCTACTTTAGGCATTTTTTATTCTTCTGAATTTGGTGGTTTTGAACCATCTTGGAGTTTAGAAAGTTCCAGACTCTCCTGTTTCTACTGGATTAAACTCCAAGTCAAAAAGATGTATGGATAAATTCACTCTCCAGACCTCGACCTCAGGACAATGAACTGCTCCGGCAACGTCACCGTCGCTCCACAGCTGGAGTCTGTCCTGAGCTTGGAGACAGGACCGGGTGGTGACCAGGAGAGTGGAGATGTCGCTGCTAACAGCGGGAGACTGTGGGTGACGTCTGTGCTCGGAGCCACTCTGGTCATGATGTGCGTCGTCGGTTTTGTGGGAAACACGTACACGCTGGTGGTCACCCGCTCTGCAGCTTTACGTCGAACGGGCTCCATGTACGTCTACATCGTCAACTTGGCCCTGGCCGACCTGCTCTACCTCACCACCATCCCCTTCGTGGTCTGCACCTACTTCGCCCAGGACTGGCTGTTTGGAGAGGCGGGCTGTCGCGTCCTCCTGAGTCTGGACCTCCTCACCATGCACGCCAGCGTCTTTGTTCTGGTCGCCATGAGTCTGGAACGCTATCGTGCCGTAGCGAGGCCGTTCAGCGCGCACAGGTCCTCGTCCAGCAAGCAGAGATGGGTGGCGGGGGTCATCTGGGGGTCAGCTCTGGGGCTGACGCTTCCCATGATGGTGATGATCCGGATAATCCAGAGCAAACCCGGTACGGCAGGACTGGTCAAGAGGATCTGCTTTCCTACCTGGACCCCGGAGGCGTTCAAGGCCTACATCACCGTTCTGTTCTGTACCAGTGTTTTAGTGCCAGGGTTGGTCATCGTCGGGCTGTACGTCGGGCTAGCTAAGCATTACTGGACGGCACAGGCCAAACTGGGGAGAAGTGGCGGCAGTTCCAGAAGGAAAGGACTGAAGCAGCGAGTCATATCCATGATCTTCAGCATCGTGGTGGTGTACTGGGCCTGTTTCCTGCCCTTCTGGGGGTGGCAGCTAGCTAAACTCTTTTCTCCTGAGTCTCTAAAAGCTCTGTCGCCGGCCGCTCACAACTACGTCAACTTCTTTGTCACGTGTCTGACGTACGGAAACAGCTGCATTAACCCATTTCTTTACACTCTCCTCACACGGAACTACAAAGATTACCTGGCCCAGAAGAGTCAGTCCGCCGGGTCGAGCAGAGGAGAGCCGTGTTCTGCCGTGACTCTGCCTCTGCAGGACGTTTAGAGGAATGACAAGTGGTGTGGAGACAGAGGTCTCACTCCTCCAGACTGAGTGAAGATGGTTTTATTCCTGTTGATAATTCCAGAAACATCTTATTGTAACATGAAGCTCTGTGTGAACTGACGCGTCGACTTTAAAGTAAATGTAGAGAAACAGAAGTTTATTGTTCACATCATTAAACTGATTAAGGCATGATTGTCTTTTTGGTATTTGAAGAAAAAAGGGGGAAAAAAATCAGTGGAGAATTTTCTAATTCTGCTCGACACACGTTTACATTGTTATGATCACACCTAACAAATGGAGTTCTTTCCTTGTAACTACTTGACTATTAGCTCTCGTGAACTCCGTCGTCATCTATGCGGTGAATGTCATTCTGTCGTGCTACATTCCTCATTCCCAGGTCACGTCTCTTTGGAGTCTATCTGTAAATTGACCCTGAAAAAAGCTACATTCCTCATTCCCAGGTCACGTCCATCTGTAAATTGACCCTGAAAAAAAAAAAACGCACCTTATCTCCCTCCTGTCCTATTTTTAATCCATCTCCTGTAATCTGACAATTATTATCATATTTTAGTCATGTCCTGAAATCACCGTATATATAATTATACTGTGCTAGAATTTACTGACATGAAGTTCGGCAAATAATTCTAAATCAGGTAAGGGTAATATACCATATATGATATAACTTATTATATTATATATATATACACAATATTATAGCTGCATATCTAATCATTTAATTCAGTTTATTTCGTTTAAGGGTTATATATATATACACAATATTATAGCTGGATATCTAATTTAATTCAGTTTATTTCGTTTAAGGACTACACAATATTATAGCTGCATATCTAATTTAATTCAGTTTATTTCATTTAAGGACTCAAATTTTATTTTTTTTAATTATTGTGACATGTATCTTAAAATAAGAAAGTAAAAAACATTTTTTAAGGTGTATTTCGTGGTATAAAAAGAGACAAGGATCTTTTTTCACAGCATTTATTGACAAACCCAGTGATCATTGAAATGTCGACAAAAACCACGCGCTTAACAGAGTTGATTCTGGCGCCCTCTTCGGTCCATTTTCTATGATTACAACTGTCAGACTGTAACGCAGGTGTGTCTTCTGTCCCGACGTTAGAAAGGGTGAATTTTTGACTGACAATTTCAACAGGTCAGAAGTTGAAGAGGTCAAGAGAAGGCCTAGGTTTATTTGACCTTGATGCCAATAATTCTGGCGTCACCGCTGACGTCAAAGTGTTGGTACTTGACGTCTCCCAGACGGTTGGGGAAGTTAATCATGGAGCCGTCGGGAAGTCTGATGTAGAACTGCTCATTGTTGAAGGTGATGTGAAACTGGTGAGGATGAACAAATAAAAAAAGAAAAAAAAGAGAGAATTAGACAAACAGTAAATTTGAGCGATTGCGCATTAAAAAGATGAAAGTCAGTTGAGTGTGTAAAGAAAAGAAAATGGCGAATCTCAGGGGCAGAATGACGGCACAGCAGAGACATGAAGGAGAGGCCATCTTGTTCTGAGGTTGTTAATTTTTACGAGCCTCTAAACCCAGTTATGGTTATTGGCTTTAGATCAGTGTCTGTTGACTTAACAGAGTCGCTGTTCGCAAACCAATAACCTCCCGCGGCTACAGACGTTATTAATTTAGAGCTGAATGACTTATGGAACCCATTAGTGGTGGTGAGGGAAGTTATTGAAAATAAAGAAGTAGCTCAGCAAAACTTAATAATGATAACACCACAAATTTGGAAAAGTATGGGAATTGGAAATGTTGAGTCAAAAAATATATATATATTTTTTTTACATTTATTTTAATCAAAAAAAAGAAGCTAATAGACATCCGGCTTTGTGCCAGATAATTAAATTCTAAATAAATCATAAACAATAATATTTGCTTCATTTTAATCCCAGTAGTTTTTTTATTATATTGATATATAAAACGTCTATAATGTCATATTTATTTTATTTAAAGTTAAGTTTATGCTTTAAACTTTAACTTTCAAAAATGAATTGTTCATATTAAGTTTTTAATCCCTTAAAGTTAAGTTTATGCTTTAAACTTTTAATCCTAATCTACTTTAAATAATTTAAATACATATATTCACTGTGTATGTTTTCTGAATTCCAAAGCATTAAAAGCTTCTTTTTTCCCCCTTCTCTTTGATGATCCAGTGACATCACCTGATCCTCAGTCTCAGCCTCCACAGACAGTAAGGGACCGTGGTGAGTCTTACATGAATACGTTCATAATGACCTTTAACCCTTGACCTCTGGGACTCTTACACGTGCTGTACCTGCAGTGTACCTCGCTGGTCTACAAACACACCTTGCATTCTTCTCCCTGCTGGAAGGGGAAGTTGGACTCACGCAGCTCCTCGCCCCAGCAGCCCCCAGACAGGGTGTTGAAGACAATGGTGTTGTTGTCGCCACCGTAGTCAAAACGGGGGTTGAAGTGCATTGCGATGTTTTCTGCGTTGTGACCGATGTTGATGGAGAAGCTGGGATAGAAGCATGGAAATAGAATAGACTCGAGAACATTCTGAAACATTCACCTTCAGTCCCGACTTCCTCTTAGAAAACTCATGTCCATCTGTGATCGGACGGGACAACTCACCAGCTGCAGCCATCTTTAGGCTTGACCCGGATCTTGAGCTCCTGGCCCTCCTTGAATGTCATGTCCCTGATTTTCTGTGTGAGGAGAATAGCAAAATCAAAACAAACAAAAAAAGGTTTTAAACCTTCACAAAGAGGAAATGTAGGAGAGGAAAGATGATGTAGGAAGTTGTTACTGATAAACTACGAAGAGGAAGTGACTTTTCTTCCAGTTTATTTATCAAAACCAATCTTGTTTCCTTTTAATTAATGTTTTTTGTGTTGTGTGAGAATGGATAACGACAGGTGTTTTTTTTATTTTTTTTTATCTCTCCTGTTGATGATCAACCAAAGTGGGACGTTGTACCCCTGCTATAAAAGTAATGAAACAGGAAGGTGTCGTATTTGCTCGCTGACATGTGGTCGCCATAAGAATATCGTAAAACCATAAAGAGATATCTGCCACGACTACGGGCCGGACAGATGGCTGTCACGGCCTCGCCCCTCTCTACAGCATGTGGGCGTACGATAAGCTAACTTATAGATTATCACACGATAAGCTAACCTACAGAAACATCTTAGAAGAGCCGATGTGCTCATCAATATGGCAATAATTTACAGTTTCCCATCCTGGATCATCTGACTGTTCCACATGATCGACCACATCAGGACTCCTGGTCGTGACCCCGGCCCACACCCTCAGTTTATATCACCCGTGTGTTCACCTGGTTACGTCTTATCCACTATCTCTCATCGATAGTAGTTTATCATTGACTTAAGGCTGTTCATTGATCACGATGTTCCTCACGAGGTGTTGGAAAAAACTTCTCTAGCATTTCTAAAAGTTGAATGTTTAGATATTTAGATAATAGAATTATGGGATGTTAACTAAAAACGCATAAAAAGATCTAATCAAGCAATTATTAACAATAAATAAATAATAAAGGAAAAATAATTGGACATCGTGCTCCATCTTTGTCTGTGAACTTTACAACTAAATCCATTTTATAGTTAATAATTATTTTTTTCATATTAACTTGTATCCTTGCAGCCTCATAAAAAAAACTATTTTAGTTAGAAAAATAATAAATAAAATATTACATATTGTCTATTCCACTGTTAGCATGTGTGATAATACTAGAGAACAGTCAGATTATGCATGATCATTAAACAATAATTAATTAAAAAAAAAACATTTCTCTTGTTCTGTAACACACATTTCAACACTTTGATTGAAATAAAAAGTCACCCACAAATGTAAAAAGTATTTTACACAACTCACCATCTTGGCTGTCTTCAGTGGGTGGCGCTGGTCCAGACAAAGCCTTCCAGGAAGGTGAGCTCTTTATATAGCAGTGATAGTGTTGGGGGCAGGGAGCAAACACCGGGGGATAAAAAGGCTGTAAAAAGATGAAAACCTCCATAACCATGGTGAATTTTGACCCTCGAATGAAACTGCACTGTTGGGTAAGAGTTTTGTTACATATTAAACAACGTTGATTAGATTTTGATTTTTAAAGAAAATCATCCTTAAAGCAAAATAAGAAAGAAAAAAAAAATCCAACATCTCGAGTAAATGTATGACCTTTACTCAGTGCTTTATAATAAACAATAAAAGCCTAATAAAGTTCCTTATTTTGTATTCTGTATTGCATTTTAAACAATATATGTTTTATTAGCTAAAGCTAACTGTCCGATTTAGCAAATAATAAGTACAACATAATAAATCCATGTAAAAAAAACCTAAATATCAAAGTTGTAGAGGTTTTTGTGTTAATTTTTTTGTTTTTTAAAATATCAACATATTTTAATTTTGTTAACTGGTAAAAAAAATCCATTATTTTGTGCTAATATTCTACGATATGACGGCTCAGCACTGTCTGTCTGTAAATGTAGGTCAGTAAAAAATCATGACGTATCAAAGACAAGCGTTGGATCGTAGGCGTCGCGTCTTACAAGATAGCCAATCACATATCTTCTTTTTGTGATGGGCGTGTCTAAAAGTCGGCGTTCACTAACTGAAACTGACCCAGAGTAAACAACCAAGTTAGCTTGTGACAGCTATCCCCATATCTTAGGTAAGATACCAGTCAATATATCGTGTATATTTAGCGTCAGTATACATTCAGAATAAAGAATTCGTACGTGACATAATGTGAATATGGCGGGATTTTTTTTGCTTTTTAAAATTTGTAAATGTAAAGTTTTAAAACGTCAGTTTGAATATTGGTTCAACATTAGCTACAATGCTAATCCACTCTACTCTGCAACTTTGTCAGGGTCTGCAGGCTGGAGTGCTGTCACGGCTGAGCAGTGGGATCACTTAGTTTATTTACTTTTTGCAACTTCTTTCATTTCTATTTTTCCCCTCCAGAAATGTCATCGATAACACCGAGAGAACCGACGCTATGTCCAGCTGCAATACCAGCAGCAGAGCCTGTGGTGCCCGCTTGCATGTTTGCACCGGACCGCGGCTGTGTTGACGACCCATCCGACGGGGATGCCTTTGAAGACGGCCAGGGCACGAACGGCGAGTCCGAGGATCATCTAAACCTAAGCAGTAAGGTGGGCCTTACAGCAAAATGCACATAGAGACAATATTATTCCAGGAGTTCCGACAGAGCGGTGTCGGTGTTTATGTTTTCATTGGACTGTTGTGTCGTATCGTTGCGTAACCCGCTGCTCCACGCCGGCTCTCCACCGAGTGCAGGATTCCACCAAGTGACACGTATGTGTGCACTGCGTGTATAAGTGCATGCAGCTGACTGGCTACGTATGCACATGGTATACTGTTTATCCACTGAGTTTGCAAATGAATGCAATTGTTAAGAAACTGACACTCACAAAAAGAGTGAAATACCTCAACATGTTTTGCAAAATGTTTGTATTTGATGATCATTCGTTTTGACATTTCATATCTTTTATTTGTGTTACACCCCCATCTCCTCCCCTCTCTCTCTTTCTTTGACTTTGCAGCTGGTTCTGGTCAGTCCAAATGAGAAACAGTACGATGCCTTACTCAGAAATCTAAGGCGTCAGATCGAAGAGGGATGTGGAGAGACGATATATGTGGTTGGAATGGGCTCAGGTAAGGAGAACTCACTGTGCCGGTCGGACATGTCGTAGGTTGATGAAAAAAATACACATCCAGATTTGACTCAGTAACTTGAATTTGAAGCAATGAAATCTTTTCTTCTTCTTCTTTTTCAACTAACGCTGTGTCTCAGTCTGGGACATTAATTAAACCATAATATGAGGAATAATTAAAGTCATCATCTACTGTACGTTAATGCCACCAAGAAGTCAGTCACATTTAACCAAATCTTAACAATGATAGAAATGCAAGGTTGTGTCTTTAACAGAAACAGTTGTGAGTCAGTACTTTGTTGATGCCAGAGTTCACGGGAGCGTTGTTTGGATTTGATGTCTTGGAGAAACTGTTCAAAGTTGTTTTGTGGAGATAAATTTTTTTTGTTTGTTTAGTTTTAGTGACAAAACTCTGCTCAGCTTTACTGGCGACCAAAGTTATTTTCTGTCTGTTCCAGCAGCAGCAGCTCTGGTCTTTTGAGGGGGAGGTCAGAGTGCATGTGTGAAAGGGTGTCATTTTTCCCAGATCAGCACATGGTCTGTCACTGGTGCACCAGTTCATGGCTGGTTGAACAGCTAGACTTAAACAGTTATTACACTAACTAACTAACTCACTGACTAACTAATACACTGATCTTTCTGTTCCGGACACTGATGTGTGAAACTGTTTGCTTATGGTCCAGTCAATATCACACAGACTGTGGTTTGTGTCACACCCGTGTTTGTCTGTGAACCACCTGTTGATTTACACCTACAGTATATTGACAAAGGATTCAGTCATTATTTTGTATCTGTGTGTGTGTGTGTGTGTGTTGGCAAGAAACTGGTGATACGTATCACAATACGGGGCCAATGATACGATATATTACCTTATACAGCAGTACTATAGGCTGGGAGTTGGTGAAAAATATCGTCACAGTTATGTAAAATATCGATACGTATTGTGAAACGAAATATCGCAATATTTCAATGTATCGATATTTTCCAACACGACAGAATTCTGTCTTAGTCGTTATTGTGATTTTTTTTAACCTATGATGATATTATTTTCTGTCATTTTTTCATCACCCCAAAACTAAACAGTGTATGAGAAAGCAACAATGTTTTTTGGTTGTAGAATGAGCCACTGTTCTATGTTGACTGTTGCCGGTCATGATGTCAATGATCTGGTGTAACGTTGTTCCACCACCGTTTGACGTTTTAGACGGCGGTGACTACGGGTTGGACACGAGGGACATGGAGGCGTCGGTGGCCACGGTGCAGTTGCTGTGTGAACAGATTGAGGCCGACCTGATTCTGCTGCGGGAAAGGACGGACTCTGGTGGTCAGGTCCGGGACTACCTCATCAGACGCCGTGTTGGTGAGGAGGATTTCCTGGAAGTAAGGTAAATAAAATTTTTTTAAAAAATCACTCACAAACCTTACCTACCTACCTGACTGTGTTGTCTGTTCTGTGATCGCTGCCTCAGTGTGGTTCCAACAGTGACTCTGCTTTGTCCACAGGGTGGCAGTAGTAGGGAACGTGGATGCGGGGAAGAGCACCCTGTTGGGGGTTCTGACCCACGGGGAGCTGGACAACGGCAGAGGCTTCGCACGCCAAAAGCTCTTCAGACACAAACATGAGATGGAGAGCGGCAGGACCAGCAGCGTAGGCAACGACATCTTGGGCTTCGACCAGGGAGGAGAGGTGAGTGGTCAGTGAGTCAACACAGGTGTGACCTTGGTGCTCATATTTCAGTGATGTTGTTGTTTTTGTACATTTTTATTTGTTTAGGTGGTGAACAAACCCGACGGCCACGGAGGCAGCCTGGATTGGTCCAAGATCTGCGAGAAGTCCTCGAAGGTCATCACCTTCATTGACCTGGCCGGTCACGAGAAGTATCTTAAAACCACAGTCTTCGGCATGACCGGACACCTGCCGGACTTCTGCATGCTCATGGTGAGAGAGTGAAGGAAACATTTGATGGGAGTTTTTTTTTATTTCATTACTTGATTTCTTTTTTTTTAAATTCTTCTTATATATATTCTTCAATATTCAGTTTTTCATACTGCATTGGAGACTCCTTCCATCTCATTGATGTCATTTGTCTGGTTGTTTTTTTTTTTTTATTACTTTTTCACTTTTCTGTGTCCTCAGGTTGGCAGCAATGCGGGCATTGTTGGTATGACCAAAGAGCACCTGGGTCTGGCACTGGCCCTGAACGTTCCGGTGTTCGTCGTGGTCACAAAGATCGACATGTGTCCGGCCAACATCCTGCAAGGTGAGAAGGTGGAACTCTTCTGTTGAAGTCACAACATCATATGTAGTGTTTTTCCTCTTCCTCTCATATTTTCAACATTTCTGTCCTGTTTTTTTTTTCATAAGTCGATGACAAATGTCTTTTACTTCACTCAAGTCAAATGTTTGTCTTTTGTTGTTTACTTCTGTTTTTTGCTGGCTCACAAGCTGAAATATTTATTTGTTGTTTGGGAAAACACCACTTTATTTTTTGCTGGCTCACAAGCTGAAATATGTATTTCTTGTTGTTTAGCTGCTGCTGTAGTTTTTTCATGCTCTGCTAATGGAGTAGGGATTAGGTTTACGATCACGGTGGATGGAGAAGTCGTGTCGTCTGGTACGACCGAGGATGTAGAGAATGTTTTTCATCATCGAAAGTCCATCAAACGTTGTGAAGCGGTGTGGTGTTTCACGTCGTTTTTGATTCAAGTCTCCGTGTGTTTGTCTGCAGAAACACTCCAGTTATTACAGAGGTTATTAAAGTCGCCAGGCTGCCGGAAGATTCCAGTGCTGGTGCAGAACACGGATGATGTCATCGTCACCGCCTCCAACTTCAGCTCAGAGCGGTGAGAGGATCTCCAGAGTTGTCCCCGATCACTGACCACTACTGACATGTTTGATTCCTCTGTCTGTTGTTTTACTGACATTCAGACTTTTTTATAGCAGTTGTGCATCAAGTCTGTTTCGTTCTAAATATCTATTCTGTCCAATCTTAGTTCAGAGGATGTAAAACGAGGACCTGCTGCTGCAGCGTTCAAACCATTAGGACGTCGTTCGTTTTAACGTTTAGTCTCGTCCAACTGTAATGAGTTTTATTTTTAACCGTCCCCTCCGTCTCCTCTGACGTCTTCTGTCTGCAGGATGTGTCCGATTTTCCAGATCTCCAACGTGACGGGGGAGAACATGGATTTACTGAAGATGTTCCTGAACCTGCTGTCTTCCAGGACGACCTGTAAGACGGACGAGCCCGCGGAGTTCCAAATCGACGACACCTACTCTGTACCGGTAAGAAATTATATTTACTGAGACCAAAAAAAACTGTGTATGTGTGTAAAGGAGTAAAAAAAGTGGTTTGAGGTCTGTGTATGTGTGTAAAGGAGTAAAAAAAAAAGTGGTTTGAGGTTTAGGTCTGTAACCACGGGGTCTAGTTTTCATTTAAAACTTCACAGTTGTTTGCTGCGTTCCTTTCAACAGGGGGTCGGCACAGTAGTTTCAGGGACTACGTTACGTGGATTGATACGACTGAACGACATTCTGCTGTTAGGCCCAGATCCACTGGGTTCATTCGACCCCATCGCAGTCAAATCCATCCACCGTAAGAGGATGCCAGTGAGGGAGGTTCGTGGGGGACAGACGGCGTCATTTTCCCTGAAAAAGGTTTGTGACGGACAGATTGGTAGAAAAGTAAAAAAAAATAATCATTTTTTCTGCTACATTTGAAAAAAAAAAAAATTATATATTTGTGGTTCTTGTTGAAAAAAAAAAAATTATATATTTGTGATTCTTGTTTATTTTTTTCTCTCAGGTCAAGCGTTCGTCTATAAGGAAAGGAATGGTAATGGTTTCCCCGAAGTTGATGCCACAGGCCACCTGGGAGTTTGAGGCGGAGATTTTGGTGTTGCACCACCCGACGACGATATCCCCGAGATACCAGGCCATGGGTCAGTGACATCATCAGTCACCTTTCACTAGTCCTGACATAAAAGTCTCAGTATTCCGTAGGGCTGTCGGCGTTGATGCGTGAATCGTTGATACTTTTATGACGATGAATCTGATTCACAAAAACGTGCGGTGTTTATCCGACAATTCTCACACTGCAGTAACTTCAACAACATGTCATCCTGCAGAGTCGTCAACTCCAGGATTATACTAAAGGAATTACAATTTACCTTGATTAATCACGATTAATTCCCCGGCTATTCCCTGTGAATAATCTGATTAGAATTCTAGATTCCTGCT